TCCCTTATACTCAAGGCAACTGAGCTAGATTAGGGCAAACATGACAGAATTCACTCAACAGTCTGAGGACCCTGGCATGGAGGAACACTAGGCAGCTGAGGATCATTATGAGCTATGAAGATTTTCAGTGAGGGACAGAGAGAGGAGACTTACGATCCTGCATCATTCCACACTATTTTAACTGACTCCCTTTTTAAATTTCCCAGGTTCGTCACCAATTTTTGAGTTTTGTTTTCAGACATAAAGGAGAGAAAAGGTTGTAGTGGTGGGGAAGACATAATCCAATGGTACCTTCAGTTCCTTATGAGCATCAGATAGCTAAGTATTAGCAGAGAGACTTTGACAGAAAAATGCACTATGCTATGCAATCTTCTAAGGCAGTGGTCTCCAACCTTTACACACCCAAGATCACTTTTTAAATGACAGAACAAGCCAAGATCTACTGCCCCGCTCCTTCCTTGAAGCCTCGCCCCCTCTATTCTTCCTCTCCATCACTTGCTATCCCCAACCCTTATACTGCTGCTTCCCCCCCCCCCCCCCCCCGTTCCAACATTTGGCCTGTCTAGACTGGACCAAATGTCAGAAAAATCCCTTCTTTTGGAAGCCTAATAACCTGCCTAATTTTTCATTTGCACTCAGTTACTTGCATGCAGGACACCTTCAGCCACCCTGAAGAATTCTTTTGGTTTCCTTGCTATTTACATTGTTAATTCCTGTTACTCAAGTTCTAGATCAGGGATGGGGAACTTAAGGCCTGAAGGCCAGTTGTGGCCCCCGGCTTGCCTGGATCTGGCCCCTGAAGCTTTGGGCTGTCCCCCCAGCATTGGGGAGCCCGTGCTGGTGCTCCAGCCCCTCCACAGGGCTGGAGCACACAGACTCTACTAGCCTGGGCCCCCCTAGGCTCTGGTGTGCAAGGGGAATGTGGGTAGTGTTGTTTTTCTGCTTCTCAGTCAGGGGCCACATCAGTGAGGGTTGGCTTTTTTTTATTTTTTTGTTTGTTTTGTTTTTCACTTGTGTGAGGCCTCCAACTCATTTTTCTGTGGTCAGCAGCCCTGACCCAAAACAGATTCCCCACCTCTGTTCTAGAAGTTTATCGCTCCTGACAAAGATAACTATATTTGTAACATATACATCTACAGAGGGTTTTGAATAGCTACTGCCTGCAACCCATAGCAGTAACAAGTTGTCTAGTCAGACACACTACCCACAATACTAGGCAAACATTAAGACATGGCCCATAGTTTTGTCAGCCAGCTGCAAGGGCTCCTTCACTTTGAGAACTCCTTGACTGTCTGAATAAATGTCCAGGGTACAGTTGCAGACCTATGCCAGCTACTCTAGAGACTAGTTAATGAAACTGTACCAGAAGTTTTTTTGCCAACTTGCAGTTAGACATGCAACTGCTCCTAGGAGGAAGCTACAGACAGTTACAGGAACAGCCATAAAGTGAAGCAAACCAACCAGCCCAGTTGCCACAGTGCCTCTCAGGTCCCAGCAACAGGTGGAACAACGCATACTGATAAAGAAAGCTAAGCGGCACCCCAGATATTTGTGCAATTCTTTTTGTGCTAAAATAGTTATCACACCTGCAAGCATGGCCAGCCCAGCCACATACATCCCCAAGTAAAACCAGACCAGCTTGGCTAGCCCAGATTCAAAGGAGAGATATTTCTATAAAACCAAGTGTTTTATACCCCACCGATAATCCCCCTGCCATTGTTTCACTTTCTTCCTACAAGCGTGAAGTGTTACGATAGCACAGTGATCTCCAACCTTTTTAACCACAAGATCACTTTTTCAATTTAAGTGCAATATAAGATCTATCTCAAACCAAAGTACCCTCGCCCCACTACCTTCCCACCCCTTCTTTGAGGCCTCACCCTGCTCACTCCATTCCGCATCCTCACTCACTTTTACCAGGCTGGGTAGAGGGTTGGGATGCAGGCTCTGGTCTTGGACCAAGGGGTTTGGAGTGTGGGAGGGGCTCCGGGCTTAGCCCAAGGTCAGGAGCTGAGATCCAGGAGGGGTTTCAGGATGCAAGCTCTGGGAAGGAGTTTGGGTGCAGGGGGACTCACGTCTGATGCAGGAGATTGGTTGCAGGAGGAGGCTCAGGACTGGGACAGGGGTTCAGGAAGCAGGCTCTGGCTGGGTGCCATTTAACTGAGATGGATTTCAGGTGGTGGAGCAGTGGGGTTAAGGCAGGATTCTCCTGCCCTGGCCCTGCACCACTCCTGAAAGCAGCTAGCACGTACAGCAGTGGCTCCAGGGCATCATGGGCTGCCCCTCATCTACAGGCACTGAGCCCACAGCTTCTACTAGCCATGGCTCTCCATTATTGATCAATGGGAGCTGCAGGAGCGGTGTCTGCAGGCAAGGACAGCATGTGGAGACCCACCCTGTTCTGCCTTTCTCAGGGGCTGCAGGGACATGCCAGCCACTTCAAGGACCGGCAATTACCATAAGGATAATTACTACTGCCATGACAGCTTAAACATTTTAGAACTCACTACTCAAAGCTTAAGAAATGAAATGAAATGCAAATGAAAATTATGAAATGCACACACCAGTCAAAAAATAACACACTTCGCAAGCAGTAAAACGATTAACAACCACCCCCCATTTATGTGTTGGGTCAAGGGATGAGAGTGAAGAACAGTGTGTGTTTGTGAAAATAATAGACACACACACACACAGTGTGTGAGAGTAACAGAGTTTTGCACTGTCAAGCTCCCTCCATCCCCTTATCCCTGTGTGGAGACAGTGTACAGAAGTGGTGGGGAGGGGGGGGATCACCCTGACATCAGCACCTCCCCTCTTCTCCCTCCCACACCCTGCACAGCAAACAGGAGGCTCCCAGGGGGGCAGCTCCAAGGCAGAGGGCAGAAGCAGCATGACAGTGGATGGAGGGGCAAACAAAGTGCTAGCACTGGATAGCTTCCTGTCCAACACAGTCAGGATCACCTGTCAGAGGCTCCAAGACCTACCAGTAGATCCTGATCTACTGGTTGGTGATCACTGCTATAGGGCTATTAAACCACTGCCATGTCACAGCAAATGAGTCATCCCTGTAAACTCAACTGCCACCTCACACCAGAGAAGTGGCTGCAGTTCCACAGACAGAGAAGCAACCCTGCTGGATAGTTACTGGTATCCATGGTGGCCCGTCAGAAGTGTTATTACTCGTTATTGTTACTTTACATCTCTACAGCCTTCTCTACCCCACACCAGCATATTACAGCAGACAACTCATGGGCAGCAGAGGAAGGGGAAACATCCAAACTCAAGACACTAGAGTAGCCTCCTAGTATTCTATAGAGATCCCAATGGACATTCCAATGTCTCCATGTTACAGAAGGGACAAAGGGAGACTGGGTTTCACTCTGAGCCCCCCAGACTAAGAAAACGAAAGGCAAGTGAGAAGGGAGGTGACCCTACCCAAGAACTGCCTGGGTCAGGCCAATGGTCCATCTAGCTCATCATCCTGTTTTCCAACAAAGGCTTATTCCAGATGCTTCAGAAAAAGTGAACAGCAGAGGGCAGGGATCCAGGGACCCTCCCCGTCCCCCAGGCCCAGCTTCGGCTGCCAGAGGTTCAGGGCCTGCAGAGCAGGGGAGGGACCAACAATCAACGGACCCGCCCACGTCTCCGCCCCAGCCCCGGGCCGGCCACAGCTCAGCGGCACGGAAAAGCCCCAGGCAGGGCTCAGGGCCCCAGCTTCAGCCCGGCCCGGCGGAGCTTCGGCTTGGGGCGGCCCCCGGGGG